AATGTCTTACATTAAGAATTTCTTGAATGTTGTGTATATACTGTATTTGAAAGAGCGCTTTGGAAAATAGTTTGTACATTATTTCCTAATTTATACATGATTTTTAGTGTTAATATTTCTAACTGTTAATAATGAAATATTTAACGGTGTTGTCCATTTTTATGTATTGATGTGGAAACAAAAAAAGGTGATGCCAGCATTTGGACTTTTTTCATTCACTGTATCATATTTTCTGTTTTGTAATACAGAATGTCTGAAAAAATGTTTTTAGGTTAAAATGAATGGATCGTGAAGCCAAGTAATGAGACTTTTTCGTATGATGGAAAGACTTTTAAAAGGACTGGTGTAATCATGTTTGAAGTCTGTTTTTTTAATTTTATTGCAAATTTAACGAAAATGATACATAACCATTCCATTTATAATCTGAAATATTTCAAGTAAAGTTCATTGCATGAGGAAAAAACAGTGTTAATCTCCATTTTCAAAATGTCGAACCTTATTTTATTTCTGAATCCAGTTTGGTGTAGTGGATAAGTGCGCGGACTCTAATCTGGGAGAACCGGGTTTGATTCCCCACACCTCCACTTGCAGCTGCTGGATGACCTTGGGCAAGCCATAGTTCTGTCAGAGCTGTTCTCTCAAGGGCAGTTCTCTCAGAGCTCTCTCAGCCCTGCCTACCTCACGGGGTGTCTGTTGTGGGAAGGGAAAGGAGTTTGTAAGCCGCTCTGAGATTCTGAGTGAAGGACGGGGTATAAATCCAATCTCCTCCTCCTCCTCTTCTTCTGTTTCCTATGGCTACTCAGCCACCCCAGGGTGTAGCAGGAGTGTTCTGTGACTCGAATGAGAGACCACAGAGTGGAATGACAGCCCCAGGGTGTAGCAGGAGTGTTCTGTGACTGGAATGAGAGACCATGGAGTGGAATGACAGCTCCAAGGTGTAGCAGGAGTGTTCAAGGACTGGAATGAGAGACCACGGAGTGGAATGACAGCCCCAGGGTATAGCAGGAGTGTTCAGGGACTGGGATGAGAGACCACAGAGTATAATGACAGCCTCAGGGTGTAGCAGGAGTGTTCTGGGACTAGGATGAGAGACCACGGAGTGGAATGAAAGCTCCAGGGTGTAGCAGGAGTGTTCAGGGACTTGAATGAGAGACCACGGAGTGGAATGACAGCCCCTGGGGGTAGCAGGAGTGTTCTGGGACTGGAATGAGAGATCACGGAGTGGAATGACAGGCCCTGGGGGTAGCAGGAGTGTTTTGTGACTGGAATGAGAGACCACAGACTGGAATGACAGACCCAGGGTGTAGCAAGAGTGTACAGAGACTGGAATGACAGGTCTCGGGGTGGAATGAAAGCCCCAGGGTGGAGCAGGTGTGTTCAGGGACTGGAATGAGAGACCACAGAGTGGAATGACAGCTCCGCAGTGTAGCAGGAGTGTTCTGGGACTGGAATGAGAGACCACAGTGTGGAATGACAGCTCCAGGGTGTAGCAGGAGTGTTCAAGGACTGGAATGAGAGACCACGGAGTGGAATGACAGCCCCAGAGTGAAGCAGGAGTGTTCAGGGATTGGAATGAGAGACCACAGAGTGGAATGACAGGCCCTGGGGGTAGCAGGAGTGTTTTGTGACTGGAATGAGAGACCACAGAGTGGAATGACAGCCCCAGAGCGAAGTAGTTTCATAAGAACATAAGAACATAAGAGACGCCAATGTTGGATCAGGCCAAAGGCCCATCCAGTCCAACACTCTGTGTCACACAGTGGCCAGAAATACCAGTGCCATCAGGAGGTCCACCAGTGGGGCCAGGACATTAGAAGCCCTCCCACTGTTGACCCCCCCCCAAGCACCAAGATGACAGAGCATCACTTGCCCCAGAGTCCCTATCTATACCTTGTGGCTAATAGCCACTGATGGACCTCTGCTCCATATGCTTATCTAATTCCCTTTTGAAGCCGTCCATGCTTGTAGCTGCCACCACTTCCTGTGGCAGTGAATTCCAAGTGTTAATCACTCTTTGGGTGAAGAAGTACTTCCTTTTATCCGTTCTAACCCGACCGCTCAGCAATTTCATGGAGTGCCCACGGGTTCTTGTATTGTGAGAAAGGGAGAAAAGTACCTCTTTCTTTACCTGCTCTTTCCCATGCATAATCTTATAAACCTCGATCATGTCACCCCTCAGTCGTCTTTTCTCCAAGCTAAAGAGCCCTAAGCGCTTTAACCTTTCCTCATAGGGAAAGTGTTCCAACCCTTTTATCATTCGAGTTGCTCTTTTCTGCACTTTTTCCAAAGCTATAATATCCTTTTTAAGGTGTGGTGACCAGAATTGCACACAGTATTCCAGATGAGGTCGCACCATTGATTTATATAGCGGCATTATGATATTGGCTGATCTGTTTACAATACCCTTCCTAATAATCCCCAGCATAGCATTGGCCTTCTTTATTGCAGTCACACACTGTCTCGACATTTTCAGTGAGTTATCTACTACAACTCCAAGATCTCTCTCTTGATCTGTCTCTGCCAGTTCAGACCCCATCAATGTGTATTTATATTTAGGATTTTTGGCTCCAATGTGCATCACCTTGCACTTGGCCACATTGAACCCCATTTGCCATGTTGACGCCCACTCGCCCAACTTTGACAGATCCCTTTGGAGTGCCTCACAATCCTCACTGGTTTTCACCACCCTGAACAACTTCGTATCATCCGCAAATTTAGCCACTTCACTGCTTACTCCCAACTCCAAATCATTAATGAACAAGTTAAAAAGCAGTGGACCAAGTACTGATCCTTGCAGTACCCAACTGCTTACCACCCTCCACTGAGAAAATTGCCCATTTATACTCACTCTCTGTTTTCTATTAATTAGCCAGTTTTTGATCCACAAAAGGACTTGTCCTTTTATCCTTTTATCCCATGATTTTTTACCTTACTTCGGAGCCTTTGATGAGGAACTTTATCAAAAGCTTTCTGGAAGTCAAGGTAAACAATATCTATTGGATCCCCCTTGTCCACATGTTTGTTCACCCCCTCAAAGAACACTAACAGGTTAGTGAGACAAGATCTTCCCTTACAGAACCCATGCTGAGTCTGCTTCAATAGGTTTTGTTCATCTATGTGCCTACTAATTCTTTCCTTAATAATGGTTTCTACCAATTTACCCAGTATCGACGTCAGACTGACTGGCCTGTAATTTCCCGGATCTTAAAGATGGGAGTGATGTTAGCTACCTTCCAATCCTCAGAAATGGAGGCAGATTTTAAGGAAAGATTACATATTCTTGTCAGGAGATCCACAAGTTCACATTTGAGTTCTTTCAGAACTCTCAGATGTATGCAATCTGGGCCTAGGGCCTAGTGATTTATCAGTTTTTAAGTTGTCTATCCCAGCTGGAGAATCCCGAGGCGAACTCCTGAGGCGGCATCTGGTCCCCTCCCACCGGTGGGCTTTCCCACCATGCCACGGGGGTCCTGAAACTTCACTAGCAGCCAAGAGGGCATTCATGGTCTTTCTGGCCTGGGAGGGAGGGACGGATCCAGGTGGCTTCAGGGGTGCAAGAAGGGGGGTGCCAGAAATGGGGGGGGGGGGCGCCAGAAGGTTTCCTTGCCTAGTGTGCAAAAATAGCGAGGAGCAAAATTTGTTCTGGAAAGAAAACTTCAAAGGTGAAAGTACTGAATTAGAACTCATCAAACACTGCATGTTGTCCTGCCTTGGATTTCCTTACAGCGATCTCTAACAACTCTACAGGGCCCACTTTATAAAAAATTTTGATTGGCTGCTCTTACCAGGCCATAACCTTGTTCCAGTATCGGTAAATTTTCACTTCAAGGTGTTGTCGCCAGGGCTGGTGCCAGGTTTTTCTGCACACTAGGCGAGGCTAGAAGTTGAAATAAATAAATAAATGCAAGTGTGTGCCTGTGTTTTGCCGAGTATGCTTTTACCTGCACGTTAAGTAGCATGAGAAAATCACTGTAACTGACTAGCTTGACACACTCACATTATTCTTTAGAAAACTGTTCAGTAAGATTATACCTGTGTACGCACTTGACATGTGGTGTGGGAGGGCAGTTTTATGGATACTGTGGGCTGTCAAAAAGACAACTAAGTGGGTTTTAGATCGAATCAAGCCTGGACTCTCCCTAGAGGCTACAATGACAGACCCCACAGTGGATGGGGTCCATGTCCACGTTCAGTGTATTTGGGACCAGCGACCTTAATGGAAATTCCATGCCACATTTTCTTGCAACTCTTCTTGAGCTGTAATGTATTTCAATGGAGCCCATGCAAGTCAATTGGCATTCCTGGCTCCCATTATTTCCAATAGGCCTTCAAGTCTCTCCCATTGTTTCCAATTGGCAATCCTGTCCTTCCAGGGCCGTGGCTTCCTTGACTGGGTCAAATCCATCTCACGCTGGGTCTTCCTCTTTTCCTGCTGCCTTCAACTTTTCCTAGCATGATCGTCTTTCCCAGTGACTCTTGGCTTCTCACAATCTGATCAAAGTTCGATAGCCTCAGTTAGTGGTCTGTTAAAGAAACAGCCTTTCTTCCTAGGAAAAAAAGTATGCAGAGAATACAGGAGGCGTGTTGCGCAGGAGCAGCGTGTGGAAATCGCAATCTGTCTTGTGGTTTTGCAGCAAAAGGTAAAGGATTTGGAAGGTGTGTGGGTGACCTGTGAAGGAGAGTTGTGAAACAGCGCTGTTGAGGCTTAAAGAAGTGCAAGAAGGGGAAAGAGGCTGCTTAGCACAAGAGAGGGTTTTCCCGGGGCACAGGAGCCCAGCCAGAAAAAAAAAGTTGGCAATTAACCTAAAAGTCGATGACCCTAATGGTAATTCCTGCCCTTTCCAATCCTTCTCCCGCCTCCTGTGCTTCCCCAGCCAATCAGAATCCTTCTTCTTTCTTCCGTCACCAATCTCGGAGAGACGGAGAAACGACGCTATGCCCGAAGCGCACTCAAACGACAAGACCCGCAGTGCCTTACGGTAGCCGACGCGCATGCGTACTTGACGCCCGGTAAACCGCCCCAACAAGAACTACACAACCTGGCGGGAGGGAAAGTTTGAGAGAGCGGCGATGGCGACGTCGTCGGAGTGCAGCGTCGCGCGACTCTTACGTTAAGTCACGTGACTCTAAATTCTCCAATGGCAAAACCCATCAGAAAATGGCTGTTGTAGACTGAGGCGCGGGTGAGATTTTATTTTAATGTATGTATATTTAGCTGTCGCTTTCCTATCGGAAAAAAAAAAAAACTTCGGGGAACTTTATTTTATAGAATCAAAACGAGATAAAATGATTTTCATTTAATGCCTTACAAGGCGCTGCAGAAGAGATGAAGAGGAGGGGGCGCCTCAGTTACTGAGTTAGGGGAGGGGTGAAGGCATTTGTTAATACTTAATTTTCCTCTGGTCCTTCAGACGCATCAGCCTCATTTTAGCCGTCTTTCAAATATGACTTTTGTGTCGGAAACGTATGACCTCTTTGGTTGGGAGAAGTTGCTCAACGGGACCGGGAGCGGTCGAAGTATCCTATTTTTAATTTTATTTTATGACACCAAGTCAAATGCAATGCACTGTACCAACGAAGCACGCAGTTTAGATTACAACAACAAATCACGTTCCTTTAAGTTTTTATAAATTCTGGGCGACAGTTCCAGAAATTGACAAATGTAAGCCATTTCTGTCCACATGGAGCTGTTGAATAAGGCTGCCAACGAGCCTGGAGAAAAACGTCCTGGCCCTTTGATAAAGGCTTAAGAGGTGGGAAAGGACAGGTAAAGCTTTTCATGGCTTTGAGGTAGACAGCATCCTGTTAAGCTATTAAAGTGACTGGACTCCCCCCCCCCCCAAGCAATTGGTAGCCCTGTTGATGAGCCAAAGACTATTCTAAAACAACTTCTTGATTTTATTAACGTATATGTTTATTTTGTTTATTTCAGTATCAATGCTCTGCATTTCACCTTGAAAAGAGTACTCAGGCAGCTTCCCAATATGTTTACGCAGCAACTACCCAAGTAAACCTTAGCACATAACTGCTTGCCAGAAAAATTATCAATACAACAGGGGGAAAAGTTTTTTATTTACTTCATTTCTGTCCCACCCTTCTCTCCAATGGAGACCTGAGGTGGCTTACGTCATTCTCTCCTTTTTATCCTCACAACAATCCTGTGAGGTTGATTAGGCTGGGAGTGTGTGACTGGCCAAAGTCACCCAGTGAGCTTCCAAGGCAGAGTGCAGATTCAGTCCTTGGTTTCCCAGAACATAGTCTGACCCTGTAATGACTACACCACGCTGGCTCTCACTCGACACTGAAAAATGTCTACAGTGCATTAGGACCATACATGATTCAACAAAATATAAGAGCATTTCTGGCTGAAGTGTATTTATTTGAAACATTTATATCCTACCATCTCAAGTTAATCTGTCTGTGAGACAGCTGATTTATACCCTGCTTTTCTTTTAATGTTTGCACTGAAAGTGGTTTACAAAGTGTACATTTAATATAATTTTACCCTGTCCCTTCTCCAAAGGAGCTTCTAGTAGCATGCATGGTTCTCCCCCCCTACGTTTTATCCTCACAACAGTTATGTGAGGTAAGTTAAGTGGAACAACAGTGACTGGCCCAGGGTTACCCAGCAAGCTGTGTGGCTGAATGGAGGTTTGAATCCAGGTGCCCCAGATTCTAGTTAGGGATGTAAATTGTGTTTTTAGAAGCAATGTTTCAACCATTAAAATGATCCTTTAAGCATTAATTGGAAACAGCCTTAGATACAGAGTTCTACCAGTAGATCCTCTAGTTTGTACTTTTGAGTCTCAGTAACAAAACTGCGCATCATTTGCCGTACTGTTTAAATCAGCGGTGGCCAAACTGCAGCTCGGGAGCCACATGTGGCTCTTTCACAGTCTATTTTAATGTTAATAAAGAGCAAATATGCATATTTTTCAATTAAAAAGTGTGTGTAATATTTGTTCATGTCTTGCGGCTCTCAGACATCTAAGTCTAGGTGGCTGTTATGTTAAGCATGTTTGGCTACCCCTGGTTTAAATGTTCACAGAAATATATAAATCATAAATGAATCTGGATAGTTTAATAATTTACACCCCTAATTCTAGTCTGAAACTCTCACTGCTGCACCCCATTGGCTCTAAATGAAATCTTATATACAAGAAAAATTCTGGGTCTTAACGTTTGAAGCACTGATTTTATTATTGCAATGTTTTTGTATCTTAATGTTGCTGCTTTGTTCAGTTGATTATGTGGGAGAGTTTTGTTTGTTTTAATCTGTTAGTTGCTTAATTAGAAACCGGAACCTGCTTTTGGTAGCTGTTAATGCTGAAAGTAAAGGATATAAGTGTTTTACATAAAGGAAAGGAGGGAATCAATGAAAGCTATCATTCTTAGGAAGCAGGAAAACAGGCTCTGCAGTGTACCTGAATGGCTCATTTTCTTCGCTGGAGGACTGCCAGAGGATCATGGGACAAGCAGAAAAAGTTCCCAGCACTCAGATGGTCCTCTTCCTGTCTCTCTAGGGTCAACAGCAAGCCCCAGAGAGAACCTCAGCCAGCCTCTAGATGTAGCTGCTCAGTAACACCAGCAACAAATGTTAAAAATCATTAAAGGCAAAACTTGTTTTGAGTTGTGTTAGTCAGTAAAGACCCGATGTCCTGTGTGCCCACTACAGTTGTGAGGTAGCCATCTGTTGGCTCTCCCACCACTTAGGATGGCCTGTCTGGCATCAACCAGAGCCTGGGCCTTTTCCACCATTGCTCCAGCTCTGTGGAATGGGCTCCTTGAGGAGGTGAGGAGTGTCCCCTCCTTGGAGATCTCCAGAAGGCGCTGTAAGGCCTGCCTGTTTGCCCGGGCTTTTGAGGGAGTTTGAATTGGGAGGCATCTTTTTTGGGGGGGAAGGGGAGAGAGAGTTTGGATTTGCTGCTTTATTTTTTGGTCTTAACTGAAAATGTTTTTAACTATTATTGTAAGCCACCTTGAATGATGAGGAAAGGCAGGATATAAATGTTTTAATCAATAAAAATAATATGCCACACACATTGATGGTTCTAAGTGTAATCCTCCTTGAGTCCCTGTGAACAAGATGGACTATAGCCTAGGTCTGTGTTTGGGAGGCCTTGTTTGTTTCTTGAAAGCTGTTCTTGGAGTAGAACTTGAAGTTGAACCTGACCTATACAGTTGTGTTCCGGGCATGAGAATGGTCAGCCCTCTCTTTCCTCTTTTAGATCCCTTGCCAGAATTGCAGATTAGTCACTTGATCTTCACCCCCCCCCAACCCCCTAGCTATAACTATGACAAAATAGAAGAACATAGCAAAAGTCCAGTAGCACCTTAAAGACTAACAAAACTTGTGGCAGGGTGTGAGCTTTTGTGAGTCAGGTATCTGAAGAAGTGAGCAGTGGCTCACGAAAGCTCATCCCCTGCCATGAATTTTGGAGAAATGAATGAAAAATGACTCAATTTTGTGTGCCTTAAAACTTAAAATCTTTGTATGTCCTGAATTCCTGAATTCTTCTAATCATTTAGGAGATATTATATTAAGAATGTACATGCCTGCTTCAAGTAGATCTAGTACTGTACTCACGAAGATAAACAGTTGACTGGTGATGTCTGTCCTGAGCCTAGCCTTAGAGATAAGATACAGAAGATGAAGACATAAACTATGAACAGTTGCCTGCCATGAGTAAATGCCTGTTATCTATAGGTTAGGCTGCTGAAATGTGTGTTAAAGAAATGTAATTGGTAAACATAGCAAGTGATGATGAAAACGTAGTAAATACACAGTGAAATACACATGTAACTGGAGATGAAAGATGCTGTATCATGCATGGTGTGTCTGTTAGAACTCTTGAGAACTTACTTTCAGTGTCTGGGTAAGGATCCCTCTGTAGTTCAAACTACTTAAATAAATTATTTTCTGCTAAAGTCCACTGTCTCTTTGAGCCCCTTGTAGGACCCTTGAGAATTTCCCTGTCATAAGTCTTTTAAGATGCTACTGGACTCTTGCTCTTTTCTGCTGCTACAGACAGACTAACACGGCTACCCCTCTTGATCTATGCCAAAATAGATGTGACTGCATTTGGTCACACACTCCCCCCCCCCCCCACTACACTTGTCTTTCCCTCTCTTTCCTTTTCTTTTCACTGTTGTATTTCCAGTTGTGGCAAAATATGGGTTGCAACCTCCTTCAGTTGGTTCCCTCTCATTTTGCTTATGAAACTAACTGTGCTGTATATACTGAGGGTGCTGTTTAAATAAAAATACTAGCTGCTTGGTGAGGAATAGTGGGGTATTATAGGGAGGGCTAAGTGTGGAGGAGCACAAGACTAACAGGCTGGGTGTGAGAACAGTGAATAGAAGACACAGGCTTATAGGTCCAGAGACATTTACTTTCAAGTAAGCTTGCATAAGATCCTGTTGAAATTCTGTGCATTTTATTCATGTTTACAAATATGGGCTTGTCACATTTATACTTTTTTGTATGCATATGTGATGTTTTACATAAACATCTTAAAATTAATGTGTGAATCACCTGTTCCCCCAGTTTCTCAGGGTTCTGTGATTGATTGTAGTTCCCTATGAGGTACATAGGGTACATGAGGTACATCCGAGATCTGATAAGACTGGGGTAGCCTGGGCTATCAGGGTCATAGCAACATACACTTGCACTGAAATAGTTTGGTTCTGCCCCCTCCCCCCATCAAGTGTGTTTTAGATCAGAGGTGTCGAACTCATTTGTTACGAGGCCCAGATCTGACATAAATGTCATTTTGTTGGGCCAGGCCATGTGTATCATAAAAAATAATGCCAGGTACCGGAGATACAAACTGTATAAAGGACAGCAGCTGGTCATCTCCAAGTTGGTGTGTCCTCACTACAAAGCCTCCTGGGCTGGGAGGGGGGTGCAAAGGAAAGCCCATATGGGTGGACTGGAGAGCCAGTGGTGCAGACGCTCCCACACTATTTGACTGCTACAGATCAGGTTGTTCCACTGAAGCCACAATTGGAGTGGCTCCACCCACTCCCCCTGAGCAGCCTCCTGTTTCCTCCCTTGCACTAGTTGCTCACGGGCTGCATAAGAGCCCTAGATGGGCCAGTTCTGGCCCCCGGGCCTTATGTTTGACACCCCTGGTTTAGATGTTATGTTCAAACAAATTTTAACGCTTTTTGTAGAAATTATTTTGGGGGACAAGTACTT